GACCTAATCCTTCTATAGAGAAAATTCTAAAGAGAAAGAAATCTCTTAATCAAATTTCAATAATAAATATTTTTAGATTTAAAATATTTTAGCTTTAGCAATCATATAATTAATCTATTCTAATATTTTTGAAAGAAATCTCGTGAAAAGAATTTAATTTATTTTTCTTTTCGAAAAAGAGTTTTCAGAAAAAAATTAAAATATATAATAGAAATCTTAGAAAAATTTAATTTATAAAGACAACTCTTATTTTAGAAATTTATATAAATATCTATTATCAACTTCTTATTATATCGGTTATTCAAAATCATATTCAATAAATAGTCAAGATATCATAAATTAAACCAATTAAAAATCTTAAAATAGTATCGTAATTCTCATATAAAATCAATATTTCAAAAGACTAATTCATGAACCTTATAAACCAAAAATCTAATATTCCCCTTCCTTCGGCCAAAAAGATCTCGGTCGATCTACATTCATTCGCTCCATTTCCCACTTAAATTTCTGAAGTATTTTCAAACTTAGTTTTATATTTCAATATCACTTTCGATGCAAACCAAAAGAATGACAATATGATTGAAAATCACAAGTTAAAAGTTATATATGATTATTTGGAGTTGAAAAGGATTGAATTCACAATGTATTTTGCTGAATGAGAATTTGTTTTGGCTCCCTACTACTGAAACCGTGGTCCAGCCTGTCCTCACCGAAAACTATCATCCTCAGACTTGACGCTGTATCTTGTTCAAGCCTCCTCTTCCCTTTGCATGCTTTCCTACAGGTCACCCCTGTTTTGTGATGCATTATCCATTCTGGGGTGTTTGGAACTGTTTTGACGGCAGACATAAGTTGCCTTTCTATCCTCGAAACGCCTTCTTTGGGCGCCTGCCTAAGCGAGCTGCTGTTGCAATCGCCTCATCCATCACTCTGCGAAGGAGGCCAACAGCTGCTCCAGCTCCCTGTCGATGCGTCGGTCAGGTGAAAGGCAGCACTCCCCAAGTCACAAAGCTGAAACCTGAAGCCCGCCTTGCCACGCCTTCGTCATCGTTTGTCCACTCGCTGACTCTACTTGCAACCTGCGGCAATGGCTTTCATGAGCCTTCAGGAATTCAGGCTTTCGGATCAGGCCCGACAAATCCTCTGCCTCCTTGAGCTCCTCGCGGGCGTTCTGCATTGCCACGCCCTGGCCAGCCAGCTGGAGCCTCCGCAGCCCGTGATCACCGCATGACGGCGTGTGACGCGCGTGCTTGATGCGACCCAAGTGCATTTCTATGTCGTTGAAGTTGTCGCCAAATGCAATTACTTCTTCCTTAGGAACGTTTGTGAAGCGCACATTTGTGAAGTGATGCCGAGCAATGTGTCTCTGCCAAGCTTTGCGGGGAATCATCTGGGATGCGAAATTTCGGAACTCAGTGCACCAAGAGCCGATGTCACAGCCCCAAAGCCAGTCACTTGTGGCTGCACTTCCTCGCCCTGCTCTCCCATTGAATGCTTCAAAAGCTCCATTGAAATTCCCAGATGCTCTGTGCACAGTCTTCGAAGGGTATCACCTCACCAGCTGACAAGCACTGAAAGACGATGGAGCGTCCACAAACGAAAATGCGTAGTGTGCTCGCCCACTGATGCTAGCATGGTTGTATGCTGCCACGGAATCCTTCAGCATCTCGCGACTCCATGCAGAATTACAGCGTTTCAATGCCAACGCCAAGACAATCCAAGCGGCCTTTGCTCACATCTGCCGACAAAAACCTGATGCTTTGTGAGGAAACCTGGGGCCCTCCGTTTCGGGGTCGGGGCTTAGCTGCACATGCGAGTAGCGGCTAGACGCATTGCAAGCTTTCCATGTAACTCAGGGAGTATAAGAAGAACGTCCATGCAGGTGTAGCAGCAGGTTCCGGCAATGTCGGCTCTTCAATCGTCTCAAAACGATGCTTTCTGTGCAAGGGATACCTGAGGTACGAACGAGTTCGTTATCGAGAAACCAGACCTTAAGAAAACCAACACTGTTGTAATACCAATGCGAACGGCGAGTACTTGGAACGAGATTCGCACAGCTTGGTCATGGGTACTCACTCTCAGAAACTATTCCTCGACATCATCGCGGAATTTTTAGGTATACACATCGCTGATCGACAGGCGCCCCTGCACCTCTCTCGCTCTAGACCAGGTGTTTAGACATACACACGTACGACACACACGGACATATAAATATTACAAAAAGTGGGTAGCCAGAGGCATATGTAACTCGTGCATGCCTGCATAGTTGTGTCTGTCTACGTGTCTTCATGTCTGACTATGTCTGTGTGCATGCATGTCTCTGTCTGTCTATATGTCTGCGTGTGCTGTAATCTCTAATATCATGCTAGCTATGAGAAACGAATCAAACTTAACCTTGCCATGTGGCTCTACATGTTGCTCGGCCGCCACCACGTGGGCCGCACCAGGTGGCAGCATAGCACGAGCCTGCGTGTCGTGCTGGTCGCGTAGACTATCAAATACTGAAAATTGTCACTGATCATCGCACACATTGGTGATAAGCATCCTCTTTTATCAAGACTTTCGCTGTGATGGACACCCCTCGTTGCAATTAGCAAAAAACCATGTAGTGCCACAGCTTCTCTCACCTTCTGTGCAAGAGTCTTCGTAATGCTAATGTTTCTCTTCTGCACTGGTGGCAATCATCGGGTGAGACAACACGTCCAAGAGTATCTGGTGCTCTTTGTGTATTGGCTTTGCGGCTTTGCGTGTATTGTCCCCGACACGACCCGCCAACGTCAGAGCCTTGGCAGCCTGTGCCGCAGGATTCTCAGCGAGCGCAACGACCTTCACTGAGAAATTGGCACATGCTCGATCCCGTATTCCCATTCCTTTTAATGGTTTTCGGGATCGCCGACTGATAGATTTCGAGCACATGCCCGTCCCGGTATTTTGCTACCAACTTCGTGTCGCACTACTTGTGAGCACACCTGACGCAAACTCTGAACAGGTGGGAAGGCCGTCAGAATACATTGGCATGACTGCACCTGGTTGTTTCTGGTCTGCTTGACTTTGTCGACACACCGTGATCTCGCGTGCCTTGAGGGGCGTCTCTGTTTCAAGCAGCTCCCACAAATCTTCCACGCGCTCCTGAAGTTTGGTGCGCAGACCAAGACTCCAAGTAATGTGGATAAGCAACTGGATCAGGACATTCGCCGATGTTACGTATGTCAAGCAAAGCAAGAGTACAGTGACAAGAGACCTGACGGGAATCTCTTGCCTGCTCCATGCCTTCCAACTCTTCGAAGGATTGAAGCCACTCTTCGTGGAGTTCAGTTTTCCTAACATCCGAAGGCACAAAAGTTCAAGGGTCGGTGCATCGCAAGCCCTTCAGGGGAGCTAGCAGCCGGGCAATGCAGCAGCTAGTAGTCTAGTCCTGTTCAGGCGGGGCACGGCACCACCGAGGTGCCATGTGCCTGACAGTAACTGGCACACCAGCCCCGGTCATCGCAAAGCTGCAGGATACCTCTGCGGACGTCGTTATGGCAAGAGAGAGTGGAGGATACATGTGTGGGTGAGCACCTTTAAAACGAGAAAATCATCGCAATGTCTTCGCGAATGGTGGACCAACTAGCCCTGTCATCCAAAGCTGCCGTCGAGGAACTCTCTGTCGCTGAGTGGCTCAAACCTGTGATCTGCTGTGTTAAACTAAATTTGTCACTCAGCAGAACCGAAGCCTCGTGAGATCAGGACTCTCTGCCCTTCACCCCAAGGATCCACCAGCGTCGCCTTGGCTGGAGACCGTCTCCATCGCATCAAAAGTTCGAAAACCAAAAAAAACTGCAGCTGAGCCGCGCAGGCTCCGTTGAAACAAACCGTGGGCACCGGTCGCGTCAGGCCGAGCTCTGTCACATAGGGCTGAGGGAAGAGGCAAAAGGGCTTCATGTGGTGTTACGATTGTGTTACGTCTCTCTCTCTCTCTCTCGCTCCAGAGAGTCTCGGGCTCGTGCCTGCAGGGAGAGGACCGGACGCCCAGTTGCAATGATGACATGGACCTTGGGTTTTTTGGCGGCTCCCTTAGATTCGACGTCTCTGAAGCGATGCGGAGAAGCGGCTCCTGATGCATCCTTAGCTAAAGTGCTCATGGAAGTTAAACTTCACAAACATCATGCAACTGGACTGCAGCATCTCGAAAGAGCCGAGATTCAATCTTCTGAATCGCTTCCACTGTGCGGGCACTGAGCGCGTGACTGCTGTTCAGAGTGGTCCCATCCAGGTCCAATGCGACAGCACGCCATGTGCCCCTTAAGGCTCTCATGTCCGAAGTGTAAGGATCGCTGTTCTTTCCTTTGCAGATGTGGTGCGGCTAGAATCACTACGGGCTCTGCTGCAGGGTCGTTGTCGAGAAGTGTGCCTTTCAAGTTCCTTGATGCCCCTGAATCAGGTTTTGGCAATGGGAGTGTCGGGGATGCCTTCAGAAAAGCTGGAACTGCGACACAGCGGCACAGCCGGAGCACACACATTGACGCTTCATGCACACCATCCAGCAGACCTTTCTGCGACAAACCTTTCGCAGCTGTTTCCGTGAAGGTTCAACGGGCTCCAAGTCTCCAGCAAATGTGTCCACAAGGACAGCGGCGACCGCAAGAGCTCTCCCCCAGCAGGCAGTACTGCTTGTCAAGGATGAGTAGGATGTGAGATCACGACACATAGACTTAGACGAAGTGGTTGGGCCACTCACAGCATTTCCTGCATCGGCGGTGCCAACGGCGATACGGCATACTATGCCACCGAGCGCCAGGGCCCAATACACCGAAGCACGGAGCTTCAATGTACAGGTTGTAGACGCTTGAAGCCTGCGCTCGGCTTCGGTGGCAGGAGAAGGCGCTTGACGGTTTGACGTAGCGTTCTGTGGATAGTTTAAGTATCTTCGGTGCACCTTGTGACAGTCGGAGGCCGGTGCTGGCTTCAGGGCTTCCGGCTCTCGTTTGCAAAATAGATGACGATGTTACGAGTAAAAGTCGGGGATTTAAGCAGTGTTGGATCTCCTGCAAGGCTTCTTTCCATGCTTTCATGTGCCACGCCTCGTCATAGTGAATATCTGAATATCATTGCCAACTGCAGCTGGCAATACCATGGAAGTCAAGCAGCTTGTAGCACGTGTCCTTCTTGGTGATGTCTTTCTCATGGACAGGTCGAGTTGGCTGGGCTCTCCAAGAGCTTCACCAAATGGCCTCTTGCAGCTCACGTCCTCTGCAGGTGCTTCATGGGGCTTTTCCGTCAGGTACTCCAGCTCCGGCAGTGGCGGAGCATCCTTCAAATTTTTTCACATCTCCTTCGACTCATCTGAGTGGCGAAGTTCGACCAAGAGCTGTCGTCGTCTCCGATACAGGGTGCAACTTGCAGCCTCCGGATCTACTGGGAATGGAAGTTGCAACCGCCGCTTCCAACCAAATCGGTGCCAGCTGAACTGTATCTCGCTGGGGCTAAGCTCCACGGAACAGTCCACAGTGTTTTGCAACCAGGCGCCAGCAAATGTTGTGCACACCGAAAGCTTCCTCTGAAAAGACGAAATATGCAGTTCCGGCTCGTTCCAACTGAGCATGTAGATCCTGAGTCATCAATGCGGACATGAGCATGCACAAGGTGTTTCTGCTAAATCTTTAGGCGAATGCTCGTGCAACGAAAAAGAACAACATCTTGATCTCGATGCCTAGCTTCGCCAAGCAAGTTTTCTCGTTGGCATGTCTCGCCACAACACGGCTACTGAAGCCTCCGGCAGCAAAGGCGGCAAGAACTCTGCGACACGGGGCCCTGTTTTGCTGCCTTGCTCCGAAGCAGCTTCAAGAAATCGGTCTGTGTGCTCCGGCCTCAGCTCTCCAAGCTTTAAGCCTTGCATGACGTGCGTGCCTTTCGTTCAAGTCTGGGCCTCTGGCTGTCGGTCCTGGTGAGCTAGCAGCAGTCTGGCAAGAGAGATGTGGAGCGACTAAGCGTGCACTTACTTCAGGCTGCAGCGCTTGGTCGAGGCCAAGTCTGAGATGTCGTCTTCCGTTTGGTGTTCAGGGTTTGCCATGCACGAAGTACTTCGGTTCTGCAGGGTTTGCCACAGACAAATTACTTCCGTTCTGTTGGGATTCTGTATGTCTGTCTTTGGTTGACATTTGCCATCGTTCTAGGTTGGAAGGGTTCATGTAATGGGCCAAGAACGGCAACAGGCTTCAAACAGACCGCTTACACCACACAGGCCACGAGATTTGCGGTAGGTTCACTGAAGCAAACAAGACAAGCTTGAAGAAGCATTGATGCAAGAGCGAGAGAGAGCGAGAGACAGAGATAGATAGATTGAGACGAAAACTGAGAGGCACGCTGAATTGAAGGCAAATCTGCAGGGCAGCGAGACAGACCATCTCCAGTTCTCTCCCAGCAACCCTTGCAACAGCCTTGTGGCCATCGGGCTTCGGAGGTCACAGATGTACCGGATTGTCTCCTCGTTGCAGGGTGCACTTAAAGAAGTATCTCGCCGCAAAATCGTGTTGAAATTGCTGGGTGGAAGATGCGTGTGGGCGGAAATGCATGATCGCAGAATTGCTTCCGGTCCAACAAGGCCAGGTAGGGAACTCGCTGATGGACAACATCAGCTGCCAGGAGTAGCAGCTGAGGCCTGCAGCTCTGGCACTGGATTTCTCCCGCTCCGTTTCCGCACATCGTCCCATCTGAGCTCAGCACTTGAAAATATCTCGGATGTGCTTCACACACTGCGGGTCTTCCCAGTCCAAACTGATGGCCGCCATGTCCCTGATGGCTTCCGCAACGGAACTGAATCTCGCAGCACGTGTCAAGTGCGAAGCCCACGCCAATCGGCTCAGGCTCCAGCTCTACCCACGACGCATTCAAGGATATACCTTGGAGCGCAACAAGCACTGGTGAACATCTCCGCGCAGTACTGCTCCGTTCCAAGCATAGCTGAACATGACAAGGTGCTGTCCTCCAACAAAGGCACCTCGGGCAACCACGGTTCGCACAGAGTTTTGAGCGCTCTGTACAATTTTTGCTGTGATGCACGTGCATAGACCCCCAAACATACGACCCATAGCCCGGCACGAGCATTGGCAGATCGCTGAGGAGGCCTCCCTCTGCACCCAAGGCCTTTGCAACCAGGCCAACAAGACCGGTGCCGGCGCCGAGTTCCAGGATGCCTCAGCAGAAAGGAAGATGGGATTGCAACAAACAAACTGTCATGTAATGTGCACAGACGCAGCATTTCTGCAAAGGATTCTTTTGCTTCGTATAACTCATCTCTTATCATCGCTGTTTGTTAATCTTGTCATTAATATTTCTGCCATGATTCTTATTTCTTGTCAACATTTATCAACATTGCGAACATGGTGGTGATTATGATGACGATGATGACGATGATGAGCTTCACTATATTATTACATATAAAAATACATAGCGAGTGCGTACAAGAGAAATTTGCGTATCATTGAACTGAGAGGAGTGTCTGTGGCATATGAGCGACTCTGGAAGCTCGTTTCAGGTGCTCGATATTGCAGCTTGCTCTGAAAGCCACAACAAAAACTCAACAACATCCAGGATGCGGGCATTGTGGCAAAGCCAATCGTTCCTGGAAACACGAAATGAGTCTGGCGGCAAGCAAGCATCACACCGCGACTTTGATTCCAGTACCGTTGTTGGAGAGACTAGGAGATCGGCTACTTGGCAGCCAAGGTGCTGGCACAAAAACCAGGCAAGAAGCACCGCAGCATCCCACACCACTGCTCCCAGCTCGTCGCTTTGTAGGCTTTGGCAGGCACGCACGGTCTCTGGTAATCCTGGCACCGGGAAGTCGAAAACGCTGTCCTCGTTCGTCACAGTGTCTCTGCTCCAAATGGCCGCCGGCACAGTCTTGGCAAGCCAGGGCGGGGGCAGTAGGTTTGGAGACCTCTAGATCTGAGGGTCTACTTTGACATGCCAGTTAACCTCCGTTCTGAGTACCAAGCGTTGCCTTTGTCTGGCTCTCATCTGAACCCAAAGCTTTAGGGCAGGCTAGCCGACTGCCCCTACGCCCTAGGCGAGCGGGAGAACAACCTGACCCGTAGGCCGTGCTCAGGAGCGTCGAGCCGGTACCCATGAATTCCATTCAAGGCTCCATGAGGCAGGAGTGTCGAATGCTCCAGATGGCGACATCAACGGCCGCCTGCAGGTGTTCAGTTTCTCACAGCAGCAGACTACAAGTGACCGTATGTGACCGTATGTGTGACTGCACACCAAGCTGCGGTTAGGGAGCCGCACTTGCCGCCGGGCAGGTCCACTCGACGTGCTTCGAAACCAAATAGGTCCTTACCAACAATTCGTGGAAAGAACACGGCCAAGCCAGGAAGCCTACCTCATTTTGCTTCGAGGATTGCCCTCGATGCAGTATGAACGTGAGGAGAGGGGGCTGGTTGTGAAACTTACTTGTAGGATGTCGCCGATGCAGGTCAAGTGTCGATGCTAAGGTAAGGTCGTTCTCAGCAGCTCAGTGCTGTCGGTACTTGCGCGGTATGTTGCACTTCAGTCACGCTAAGTCGAACCATATGACCACACCACGAACGACATCTTCCGCTCAATTCTTGCTACGGTCCTTCAACGGCCTGTGTCTGCATTGAACTTCATGAGTCATTGCAGTCCGGGGTCCAAGATTTGGAAGAACTCCTCGGTGGCCTGTTGACTGCTGGCGCAAGACAAATCACATCGCAAGGAGCGTCTGTCCAGGGATCCGTCCAATGAAGACTCTCTTTACCAAGCCTATCTAGACAGCTATGGGAGAGGTACCCAATTCGCCGCACCTCAAAGTGATCAGTCTAAGACTGGACCAACTTAGAGCAACAAGCGATGATTCGGCTGCTTTTGGCACAGAAGTATGCAGACATCAAACCCTGATCGTCATGTCGCACTGATTCAGAAATGCCGGGCCTCGAGATCCCGCTCGCGCTCTGCAAGGAGGAGCTCTGTGAATCGCAGCCGTGAAAGGAATCGCAGCAACGGGGTCTGAAGCCTCTCAGAAAGTTTAGATGCGTTTTGGCCTTGTAATGCTGGTTCTTCGCATTGAACTATGAAATCATTTGTGGACCGTGCGCAAACCCACAACGTGCCAACAGAACTGCGCCGGACCTGGCAGCCCAGCTCCGGGGTGCCGGGGTCACATCATGCCCAACGGCATACCAAAGCAGGTCGGCCCCCAACAAGATGTCCCATGTCCTGCATCCATCTGCACGAGGTCCCATCTCACGCAGGTGAGCAAAACTGTCGGAAGGTGCCTCTCCAATGCCCAGTCTGGCGGCTCAGACCAGTCGAGGACCTGCACGCTTGCTCGGAGGTGGGAGGTGGGTCTGGAGCTCGGACAGTTGCTTTGGCCTTCCACTGCCAGCAACAGCCAGTAAGCGCCGGAAGCTCCGCACATTCGGCTGCAAACTTCTCAGAAGAGGCCTTGGGTCGCTTTCAAAGCGGCTGTAGCAACGTGACTGCCGATGGGTATGCCGGGTATGCAATCCGAAACCAGTGGTCCTCTTGCTGAGAAGCTGCATGAACGGCTTCGAGATCTGTAGAGGTACAGCTGTGGCCTCATTGCGGGTGCGCCGGCCGCCACACAACACCAGAAGCAAGGAATGCGGGAAACCTGATCCAACATCTCATAGGCCCTCTCGCAGCAAGTGCTGCGTTTGGGAGTACCGGGTCCAAGCGACCAAGGAGGGCGGCGACAAAGCCGAGGAGACCAATTCCCGCTCCCAGCTCGAGCAGCTCCAAAGTCCGCCTCGGATGTTCTGAGAGAAACTGGCGCCTGCGATGGCGAAGCGCGCCGCTGTGCGCGAATCGGCGACTCGCGAAGGGCTTCTTGCCAAGTCTTGAAGCTGGGGGCAAGCTCCAGGATTCAGCCCGGCTGCTCAGATCCCGGAAGAAGCTGCGGGAGCGCAGAAGCGAGGACGATCCCAGGATCCCACACATCAGTGCCTTTGCACAAAAACGAGCTGCGACTGGCCCCTGCTTCGTCCAGGCGCTAGCAGGGCCTGTCTGATCGCTCTGGTGGGCTTCGATATCGTCCAACTCCGGGCTCGGGGCTGCGATGGGCAAGCTGAGTGCTGGACACCTGGGCAGGCCGTGATGAACTGCACATGGCTGTTACTCTGTGTCTTTGTCTTTAAGGACTAGAAGGACATGGCTGTGTCAATGCCGGAGGCCGAGGCACTCTGCGAGCTTCAAGGCGCTAGCCTCAGACTGGTGATGTTTGTGCTCCTTCCGCACATGCTTCTTGCAATGGAAGAGGCTTCTTGGAGCTTGTACGGCAGTGGAAACAGGAGTCCATACCTTCCACAGCCGCAGAAAATCTGTGCACTTTGCATCGTTCCGGTGCCAGTTTACTCATCCGTCCTGCAGCCGCCAAGGCCATGCTGGTCCAAGCGCGCATAGGCCTTTTGCACAGCATTGTGCTGTCTCACGAGGAATCTGAAAACAGCTTGCCTCACTGTTCCGTTGGATGACCAGCTTCCCGGCACGCACAAAATATATACGTGCAGGTAGTTTCCATGGAGACTCTTCAGCAAGCTCTTTGTTCAAAGAACCCGTCCATCCTCTAGAGCCCAGCGCTGCTGTGATGTCGCCACTGCAAACGCGGCCAGTTCCACCCTGAGGCGGGTTTCATCGCAATCTCTCTTGCACCAGCCGCGAGTTTGAGATCCTGCAGGGCCGCAACGTCACCGATGCCACCGGCTCAGTGCGGCTGAGAATGACGGCGTGGCTGTGCACCGGCTCGGAGTGGAGTGTCCTCCTGCACAGGCTTGCAAGCAGCTCGTCGCCTCCCGACAGAGCCTGCTAGGAAGCCACAATAGCTAAAGGCAGTCCTCAGTGTGATTTGAACCTGATGGTTAGCAGCCACCATGCATCAGGGGAGCATGAATATCCAGGCTTTACGGCAACCAGAAGGAAGTTGTATCTATGTTGCTACAAGATTTTGCAAACGGCTTGTGTGGTTCCACCAGCACTTAAGGCGAAGGCTGGAAGTTGGTCTGTCCATGCCCAGGGCGGGATTCGACCATTTTCCTCTGCAGATTCTGGGTTTCGATGCAAGCACCGGACTGCTCACCAGAACCTGGCCATCCTGGCCTGACGTGCAGCAACTCGCAGTGAGATGCTCTCATCCTCAACGTTGTCCACACGGAGAACTAGCCGCCAGAGCATGACATCATGGCGGAAGCCGTTCGGCATCGCCTCAAGTTTACACCCCTTCGCCTGGCTTCAATGTGAAGCTCTGTTTAGGTTTACGCCTGGATCCCAAGGACAACCAGTATTTCATGTCAGAAGTGTGCTGACTTTCAACCGTGGGTGCCTCTTCCAGACAAAGACGTCTGTGTACATCAGCCAATGGCAAGTGCCACTTAGAATTTACCATTGAAGTACGATAGTGAAGCTGGCAATTCGCAGCTAGCGTGCAGGCGGATACATCCGGACGACTTGCAGCTCAATCCCAACCAAACGACAAGCCCTTCTGTCCTGAAGTCATCGTAGCCACATGCAACTTCCTCGCCCCAAAGCCGATTCCTATCGTGACCTCAGTTTTGCCATCCTGGTTGCATGAGGTGTCCTCTTGAGTGAGCTGCAGGGATTGCCCCAGTGCCCCTGCGAAGGCAACGGAGGTTGCATCACACTCGTGTTGGTTCCAGGACTTGCAAGGAGCATCACTCGTCAACGCACAGCATCTTCATGTGAACACCATCACACAAAGCGGGTGCCTGCATCTCGTGGCCGACCACAGGGTCCTGCAGAAAACCGATGGATCCAGAGAAGCTGCGTTCCTTCGACCTTTTTCCGTGTCTGACTGACAGTCCTCTGCGAAGGTCCACGTGGATTTCGGACATTGCTCACTGCATTGCACCATGGTGCTATGTCTCCGGAAGGCTTGATGACTCGAACGCTGCGGCGCGAAGCATTGTAGCATTTCGGGAGACATGCTTCCAAAACTCGATCGGTAGTGCATCTTAGAGCAGGCAAACACACTAGAAAGCTGCCACTACATGCTGCGCCCCGTAGGTTTCTCCGCATAGGAAGTGGAGCTCAGATCGGGTGCGAACTTTGCGCGTACCTCCGCTCAAACGGCCACTGATTCATTGCTCCGTCAAGCAGCTGCGTCCGGTCATGCCCACTCTGAACTGCTTATCACAGAAGGGCCTGACCCATGAATGCAGCTGGCTCTGGATCTCCGTGCCTGCCACAGTAAAAGAGCCAGCAAGATCCAAAGGGCGTGACATCTTGCTAGCCAGGACTGTGGCTTCCTACCCACAGCCTCTTCACCCGATTCAAGAGTCCCACGGCAAAGGCCTGCAGTGAGCCAGAGTGGCGGCCCCGGCGGCCTTGCCCTCCCGGAAAGCGACAGGAACAGGAAATGAACTTCGGGTGCCGCCGTCGAGCCTCGCTGGGCTGGTCGGCGTGGTTTTGAAGGGTCTCGACCACCTCGGCAACTCGGGGAGGTCGCGTGTTGTCGTGTGTTGTCTGTGGACCCTTTTGGCCAGGCCCGACACCGACTCGCACTTGTTGGTGAGCGCAAAGAGCATGGCTGTCTCGCCACCTTCAACTTCTTCCGACAGCATGGGTCCCAGCATGGCACAACCCAACCATGTGCGGGTCGTTTTCCGTACGAGTATGACATCTCAGGCTCAGTGTGCGCGGTGCGGTCGGTACAGCAAACGTAGCAGGGTGTTTTTGTAACTTGGCTGAAAACCGCCGCAAGTGCAGTATGTGCACGTGGATGGTGGTGGTCTGTCAGAGCCGGGTGCATGCGGCGATTGATCAGGATCCGTATGCATCTGCGCGACGTTTGAGGACGAGGTGCAGTTTGCTTCTTGGGCCTGGCATGGCCTGGCTGTTTCCATTTCGGGTCGCCTTTCGTTGCAGCGAGAAAGGTCCAGGCGGGTGGACGAATCGGCTTGTCCGGAAGGCTGTTCTGGAACTAGAATAAGCAGCGTCTGTCTCCGAAAAGCCGAGGAGAGCACGGTTCGCAGCTAAGGCCGTGTTGGCCCGAGCTGTAAGCAGAGCTTTGACAACTTCTGCGTTGCCCCGCCCAGCAGCCCACCTCAGCATGTCTTTCGAAGAACAACCTCAGTCACGACTTAGTTCAGCTTGGTAACATCAAGGCTGTGAAGCCACCCAAATCGCGTGCATTCACATTCGCGGTATCCTCGCAGTGCGGCAAGGACGTCATTCGAAGCTTCTTGCCGAACGTCTCAACATCAACTTCAAGTGCCAGTCCTCCAACAATACCGAAAGAACTGCAACATCACCGCTGGTGATCGCCTTCTGAACATACGTAGGCGAAGGCTTCAGGACCAAGAGTATGGCGACAATGCCAGGGCTCGCTGTCTTGGGCAAATGTCTCCTAGAATTTCCAACGGCTCCAAAGGGCGCACCGCATGGAGCGGCGTGCGCCCTCGAGGGTTGGCGAAATCGATGTCAGCCTCGCCTCTTGCAACTAAACCATCAGGTCATTTCTCAATGAAGGCTGGCTGCTTCATGCAGGCACCAAATCATCCAAAGCCTGGCTTTCATGTTTCATCAAGTTACGCTTGAAATTTTGACTCTGCGCATATCGTACTTCCCCAGTGGGCACTTCGATGCACTTCGTCACGACCCCCAAGCTGCTATTCCCATACTTTTTGTAGGTACTCGTAAACTGTGAACTTGTTCAACTTCTGGATCCCATCGTGCAGACAAGTGCACCTTCCAGCAGCCTTTGCACTGCGGCACGGCGGCTGCGGAGAGAAGCATCAGCCCAGGCAGCCGCATGACAAAGAGCAAAGAGTGGCGTCTCGCCTTGCAAATCCATGCTTTTTCTGCATGATCTGCATGCTGCCGAGCAATGTCAAGCAAACGTCGGTGCCCCTCCTGCAAGATCGGCTCGATTGACGTCAGCCCGAAATTTTAGCAGGTTGTCAATCAGCTTGATGTTGCACCTCGTCTCGGCTGTTTCAAGGTGTCCGCAGCGCAGTTGGCCAAGGCACCGTTCCGCAGCCGCGAAGAGTGGGGTGCGCTGCAGCGCGCCCAGGGTAGCGTTAGGGTCGGCCCGGCCGCGGAGCAGCCTTGGCACTGCGAGTACGTACTGAGTGATGGAGAGGACTGTTTACGAAACCCCCCGCCGTCCACCCCCGCCAGAGCAAGCGAAGCCACGCCAGAGCAGACTTCTCATCCAGTCGACCATGCAGATCCCCAGGAGAGTCTGGTGGAGTCTCTTCATGCCTGGAATTGGAGCTTCTCACTCTTGCCAGGGTAGATCCAGCTCGGATGTTCTAGATCGGCTTTGCAACATATTCGGTTCTGCCTGCCGCCCATGACAATGACAGGTCTGCGGTGCTGTCTTGAAGCATGTACTGCTCCTGTCCAGATGTCCTATTCTGACCTCCGAAAGCACTAGCTGAACACAAAACCAGGTGGCTCCAGCATGGCGAGCTTCTGCCCAAGCTCTTTGGAAACAAAAAGGCCGTGACCTCCTGACACGCACGCGGAAAACCAATCCTCTAGCGTTGCTTCGTCCGATTCCCCTGCGACTCTGCGGACTGCAAAATGCTGCAAAGCCGTGCCTTGCAAAGCTCTCGGCTTCTCGGTGGCCTGTGGCTCTGTTTCCACCTCAGGCTCAGGCAAAATGCAAGGATTGAACCACACTTGCATGTGCTTTCTCTCTCACAGTTCTTGGTCCAGCATGCTATGTGCGTAACCTCACTGTAGCCTCTACATGGGGGTTGTTCTTATGTAGGGTCCAGCAACTCGAAAAGCGCCTTGAGCTTCGCCGTTGCGCGCTCTTGCCCGCACACGGTTTTAAACACGTTTCCACCTTGAAGTCTTGATAAACCCAGACTTCTAGCCGGAAAAATAGCAAGTCCAGAATCCGGTTTAAGGAAGGCTTTTGGGTTAGAGACTTTGGGTGTGTTTCCGAACAACTGTCAAGCAAGTAGCATAGTAGTAGTAGTAGTAG